ACAGCTGACCTGCGGTACCATTTATCACTATTAGGCAGGAAAAGATTAAGGAGTTGTATAACCTACTCTGTAAGAGTATGAGTGCAAAACAATAGTCTCTTTAGTGGGCAATTTGACAAAATCTATAGTATGAAAAATCTCGTATCGTTTGACTAGGAACTCCAGTTCTAGAAATTTATCTTAGATACAAATACATTCTTCTAGATAAACATTCATGTGTACTATGAATGTATCCTATATATGCATACCTATTACATGCATTTATGTACAAAAATATTTTTTGTAGTAGTGTTTATAAAATAACTAAAGATTGGAAACAACCAAAATGTTCATCCATGGGAGACTGAATTAATGTGTGGTGTTACAGCTGTATGTTAGAAAACTGCAGTCATAAAAATACCAGTGAATCTCTTTATGCGTCACTTTTGGAAACATTGCCAACATATGTTGTTTGGTGAAAAATACAAGGTAGAGAGCAATGTATGTGATATGTTTATTTGTGTTAAAAATACTTTGCTTGTCTATGAACAAATGCAGAGTCGATGCAGGCTCTGGGGAGTATAACTTGAATTATTTTTAATTGAACAAAAGATTCTTTAAATTTTATAGTGCTTCACCATTTTCGAAAGTTTCACACACATGATTTCATATAATCCCATAATAACTCTTTGTTCCCCTACCCCTATCTTGCCCCTCTTTCTTCCCTCTTCTTACTAGTAACCACTAGTTTGTTCTCTGTATTTGTGAGTCTGCTTTCTTTTTGTTTTATTCACTAGTTTGTTGTATTTTTTAGATTCCACATATAAATGATTGAAGACGACCCCACTCCTTCTCAAAAAAATGTACTAATCACATTACCTTGCACTTAGTATTTATTACTTGGTGGTTATTTTCATTGTAATCACAGGTTTCCTTTATCTCTCAAGTTGATTTTTTAACAGTTGGGTCTGGAGGAGGAAGCTGTTCTCACTATAAATGCTGCTTAGTGGGTGCCCATACTCATGTTATTCATCAAAAATGCTGTATGTGCTTCCTGAAGGATGCTTCTTGGAGGATGTCAGTACAGGCTCTGCAAAGCGATGTCCGATAAGATTGGGAAACGTTGGATTAAACAAAACTAAGCATATTTCTTAGTGATATGCTGCAGCTCACTTATTTGTTTCGTGGTTGAGACCTTCCTAAAGTCATCCAAATTACACTGGATGTCTTGGGTAAAGAAAAGAATGTATGTAATTCATGTAAAATCTCAGGGATTGATTGAATGGAAATTGCAGATTGAAGCTTCTTTTGATTTAACTTTTCCCAAAGCTTAAAAGGTTTTGCTGTTTGGGGGAAGGAATGAAATCTACCTAATGGGTAGAAAGTTGAGGAGTTGGGAGTTTAATGTGGAGAAGATAGCGTCACCGTGGGTTAGGAGATATGGGTTCTACCTCCGTCTTCATGGTTTACCAGCTGTTTAATTTTCAGCAGGTCCCCTAGCTTCCCTGGGCTTCATTTTTATCATCTTTGAAATTCAGGGACTTGGTTTATTTATTTTTAGAATTTATTTGTTTATTTTAATTGAAGTATAGTTGATTTATAGTTGTTTCAGGTGTACAGCAAAGTGATTTAATTATATATGTCTATTATTTTTCATTATAATTATTGCAAGATCTTGAATAAGTTCCCTGTGCTATACAGTAGGTCCTTGTTGTTTATCTATTTTATACATAGTAGTTTGTATCTGTTAATCCCAAACTCCTAATTTATCCCTCCCCACCTTTCCCCTTTGGTAACTATAAGTTTGTTTTCTATGTCTGTAAGTCTGCTTCTGTTTTGTAAATACGTTCATTTGTATTTTTGGTTTTTTTTTTAGATTTTACGTATAGTGACATCATATGATATTTGTCTTTCTCTGATTTACTTCATTTAGTATGATAATCTCTAGGTCCATTGGGATAGGGTTTAGGTCCATCCATTTTTAAGACTCTTGAGTGATTATCAACATGCTTAAATGGAGTCAGTGAAGATTGTGGGCCTACGTAGAGTATTTTATTCTACTCTGCAAGTTTCCACACGTGAGTATAACCTGTCTCAGTTCAGCTCTTTGGAGAATGAAATTATTCAATAATTAGCTCATAGCCAACTCTGTGTATTTGAAAACTTCTTAAATTGTTCAAGACTTGTACTTGATTGATTGATTTGTTAATTACCCTCCAGGAAGGCACTTGATTATAACATGGGTCAATTAATACAGCACTGTGGATAAATCCACAGTTCCTGTATAAACGCCCCTCTGCATTCATTTCACCAATACAGGGAGAAGTCTGTGATGTGGCTGTTAATTATCTTACCCCCTCCCACCCCGCCCACAGCACACACAGTGTTCATTCGGTGGCTTGCTGTGCTTTTTGCGCACTCGCTGCCTATTAGCAGATTTCTGAACTCAGCACAGTAGAAGTCTGAATTCACTGCATTTATGCTATCTGGCAATGAGGTTTAAATTTTGTTCCTCTGTTGAAATTAGGGATGTGACATAGCTCTTGTGCAGAAGGATTATGGGCCTGAAGTTGATTTTATTATGTGGAAGTAGAATGTTTTGTTAGAAGTACTTGCCTGGGCAGAGATTCGAATGTGACTGAATTGTTAACCACCAGCTCCCCCACCCCTTTTTAGAAGGAGACATATTTTGTTTTTAAATGAGATGACAGTGAGAGAATCATCAAGACCCAATGAATTTTAAGAGTCCTTCCTGTTCACTTAAGTTCCATTTAACCTTCCTTTCCATGTGGTTCTGTACATTACCGTCAAGGGACTCAGCTTCCTTTGAAGGTGTTGCTATTGGCGGAATTATGATGGTAAAATATGAGTAGTTCCCAGTAAAGCCCTTACTGATACACAGGGATGCCTGATTACCTAAGTAAAAGTACATGTGTGTGGGCGCCTAAAATGTAGTGTAAGGGGAGAATGTGTGATAATGGACACAAAAATGGGAGAGGAATTTCTCATGAATTAGAGATGTCCTTTCATAATTCAAGAGCCACAGAATGAGAAAAGGCTTGAAATCACCTGAAAAGCATCTGGAAGCAATCTGTAGTTCTTAAGAGGCAGTAGGAGAGCTTGTCCCTTTCCAGTACATGATGATAAAACTATTCATGTGGGATTATGAAGAAGCAGAATTCTGATACTTGTGAAACCTCTTGCAATTAAATGCCCAGAGATTTGGTTATGAATTATATACTGCAAGGTCCCAGGTGCTTAATAATTACTTAGTGAAAAAGGCAGATTTGAAGGTACTGATGAAATTGTAAGGTGAAGAATTTGTTTATTTGCATGGTGAAATGTTATCCTTTGCTTCTCAGGCCTTGTACGCACTCTTCTTGTGCCTGGGGAATTACCACTACTGTGCTCAGGTTTGAAGATTTAGGTCACGTTGAGGTCCCGCCCCCCGACCCGACCATTTTTTTCCATTTCATGAAACATTTGTTATAAGAGAAGGTATTCCATTCCAAGTCTTTGTGGTGTCTATAGGTCAAACTCACACACACACACAAAACCCCTTATGGTGGCTTCTAGGGAAGCATCTTTTAATATACTAGACTACTGCAGAAAAATTATTATATTAATGAGTGCCTCATCAGAGAGAGTGAAAGGCCTGTTTGTTGTACTAGACCCTGGTTTACTTACTCACCTTGGCCCATCTAAAGTTGGGGAAATACTTATAAATAATATCTAAAGTTGGGGAAATACTTATAAATAATACTTACAACTATATCAGAACAAACTGCTTCCTGTTTCTTGCTTTGCAGAAGTGGTTGCGATCCTGTTTAGTTACAACATTGTACTCTTTTTTTTCTCTCCTCTTTACACGATAAATGGCATTTTCCCATTTTATTGAAACTCATTAAAATTTTCTAATGGCTGACAAAATAGTGGTTAAGTAAATTATGTCATTTTGTCAAATTTGTTTATCTCTTCCCCAGTTATTGGGCATTTAAATGGTTTCCATGCTTTAAATATAATATAAGTATAGTATTTATTGTTTTCTTAAAAAGGTTTTTTCTTGGACATTTTCTCTAGCTTCCACCTGTTTTGATCTAGAATAGTGGCTTCTTGCAGTTTGTTTAGCATTTGCATTAGCTTCTGACTTTTATATTCTAAGTGTCTGGAGTAAACCTCTTTGCTCTGTTGTCCAGAACATCTCTACGGAGTGTTCTCTGTACTATTTCTCCCAGAGAGGTTAATTTCCCAGCCTTCTTCAAGCTCATGTTTTTCTGATTGTACAGCAGGGATTAAGTCATGCATTTGTGTTGTGAAACTGATCTTCCCAGATAACCCTGATGATATGAGATGTGTGTCTAAGACCAAAGTGAACTCTGCCCATGAGATGGCAAAAACTGAACTTTCCACTGTCAATCTCTAGATAGGTCAGAGGTGCCAGGGACTATTTTGGGAGTACTGCACATTGAAAAACAAGTAGGTTATGAAAGTTATCTCTGGTCCTCTCCTTGCTCTTTTATATTTCTTTGTCATTATAATATGATGCTGTTGATGCATGGATATGGATTTGTTTTGTTTCACATTTTTTTTTCCTCTTCTGAAAGAACTGTATTATTACTAACCGTCTCTCAGAGGATAGAAGAATTCTTTCTGTTACCCAGTGGGAGTCTCTCATTTTTGGCTAGCATTCATATTTCTAAATAAATATTCACTTTTTGCTTGTAACTTTTTTTAATTGAAGTACAGTCAATTATAATGTGTCAGTGTCTGGTGTACAGCACAATGTCCCAGTCATGTATGTATGTATGTATGTATGTATATACACACACACAAACATACATACATCTATTTGTTTTCATATTGACTTTTTTTTTAATGATAAGTGCAATATGAGAAGAATGCTCCCATTCAATGCACTACAAATGGTGGTAAATTGGAGGAGAGGAAAAACTAGAGAAATTTAGATAGAGTTTTTGTGATTTATTAATGATTGTGGGACTTTTATTTATTCCTTTCTATAGATTTTGGAAGTCTTCTGGGAGTTGCCAGCAGTGCCAAGTGTTGGAGCAGTCTTCTCTGCCCCTCTGATAGACTGAAGTGAGCAGATACAACCCAGCAGAAGGCTGTGCAAGAGAGCAGTCATAGGTAATGTCTTCTTTTCTTCTTACTGGTGACGTGTGTTCAGTAATGGTCAGTAATAAACTTAAAACAAATAAGCCTAATTGAATTGACATATCCAAGTTTCCACTGAAGAAAAACGCACTACCTAAAAGTTGCCAGTTAAGTTTTATTCCGATACCTTACTGAGGACCATCGCCTGGGAGACAGCCTCTCAGACAGCTCTGAGGAACTGCTCCAAAGAGGTACAGGAGGAGACAGGATATATAGGTTTCTCTTTTTGTAATTTATATATGTTTGAAGGCTTATACAGTATGTTGAAAGTTAGTTCTAAGAGTTCTGAATTAATTCTAAGACTCTGAGTTTCAAACAATGGTAGTATTATTAAAATAAGTGATTAGACTTGTAGCTTAAAGAGAAGCATATGCTATTTGTTTGTATGTAAATATTGATATTATTTCTTATAAAAATCAATCAATATGTCAATCTGTCAATATTGTAGGAAGGGTTCCTGTGTGTATCAGGTTGAATAAGATGAGATTTAACTTAATTATTAAAGTGTATGTCTAAGTCTTTGTAATTTTCATCTTATTGAAGGTGTGTTTTGCAGTGTTTCTTAAAGTGTTATTAATGAGTGCTTGTTAAAAATGCACATTAAATCAGGGAGAGGGTATAGCTCACTGGGTAGAGTGTGTGCTTAGCATGCACGAGGTCATGGGTTCAATCTCCAGGACCTCTGTTAAATAAAAAATAATAAATAAACAAACAAACAAACTTAATTACCCCCCTTAAAAAATCAAATTAATAGGCCCCAATCTAGTGTGTCAGAATCCGCATCAGTGTGGTAGAGAGAAGGATTTGGGAATCTGCATTTTACAAGTAAGTACGTCCAAAGATTGACACCCCCAACTCAGTAAAATTGTACTTCTACCTAATCTTTGTATTTTTTGATCAATCACCTTGATTTTTGCTTTGAAAAAAACAGTGTCAGTATTTTTAGTATACTGTTTGGACACAGGGTTATGTTCTCAAGCAGTTTATTATTAGATCAAATTGACAATATAACTGAATAAGCTGTACTTTGAACTCTGTGTCTGGATTCAGAATGGATATATGTTTCCTTGGATGCAAATGGATAAATCTGTTTTTGACATCTGGGTACCAAATACGAAGTTTTATGAAGTGTCTGCTCTTCAGATTTGCTAGTGATTGTACCTCAGGTATCTCACTCAAGTAAAGGGTGAAGAGTAACAGGGTAGGTGTTGGCGGCCCCTGGAATCCGTGCTGCGCTACACTAGCACCCAGTCCAGCACTTTCCAGTAAACATTGTGATGAAAGCTTTGCTGTGCAATTTATGGTTTAAACGAATGAAATCCTTTCTTTATAGCATACTGAGATTTTACAAAGCTCTTTGAATGAAAGGGAATATTAACATCAACTATTAGAGTTTGATAGGATGTTATTTTCATTACCATGTACAGTCTTTAGTACTCCTTCCTGTAGAGTTATTAATTTTACAGAAGGTAAGCTTTGTGTATCAAGTGTGTTATTTTTTAGATATTTCAATTCTACAGACATATTATTCCTTTACTTTAAAAGCTGTACACAATTATATGTTCTCTTAAGAGATAGTGTACTTTGTGTAAAATAAAAAAGTAACTATAGATTTATAAGTTAAGGCTATTACCTTCAGATACTTGTTTCCTTATTCAAATATTTAACTTATTGGTATAAAATATTTTGTTAAGTTTACACCTAAAAATTGTGTTAAAATACACAACAGAAAGCTACCATTTATTGGTATAAAATATTTTATTAAATTTATACCTGAAAATTGTTTTAAAATACATAACACAAAGTTTACCATTTTAACTATTTTCAAGTATATAGTTCAGTATTGTTGAGTATATTCACATTGTTGTGCAAATGATTTCCAGAATGTTTTCATCTTGCAAAAACACTCTACCCATTAAACAGCTCCCCATTTTCCCCTCCCCCAGTCCCTGTTAACCACTATTCTACCTTCTGTCTCTGTGAATTTAACTGTTCTAGATAGCTCATGGAAGTGGAATCATGCAGTATTTGTCTTTTTGTGACTAGCTTATTTCACTTAGAATAGTGTCTTCAAGGTTCATCCATATTGTAGCATGTGTTAGAATTTCCTTCCCTTTTAAGATTGAATGAATGATATTCTATCACACATACACACACATGCACACATCACATTTTATGTATCCATTCATCCACTGATGGATGTTTGGGTTGCTTCAACCTTTTGGCTATTATGAATAATGGTGCTTGTGCATGTATATAAGTATCTGTTTGAATTCCTGCTTTCAGCTATTTTAGGTGTATATCTAGAATTGGAATTGCTGGATCATATGGTAGTTCTACTTTTAATTTTTTGAAGAACCACCATACTGTTTTCCACAGCAGCTACACCATTTTATATTCCTATCAATAGTACACAAGCATTCCAGTTTCTCCACAACCTCAAAAAAACCGTTTTTATTTTAATAGCCATCCTAATATGTGTGAGGTAATAGCTCGTGATTTTGGTTCACATTTCCGTAATGAATAGTGATGTTAAACATCTTTTCATATGCTTATTGGCCATTTGTATACCTGCTTTGGAGAAATGTTTAGTCAAGTCTTTTGCCCATGATTTAATTGGGTCGTTTATCTTTTTGTTGTTAAGTTGTAGGAGTTCTTTATATATTCTGGATATTAATCCTTTATCAGATGTATGGTTTACAAATGCTTTCTCCCATTCCATAGGGTGCCTTTTCACTGTGTTGACTATGTCCTTTGATGCACAGATGTTTTAAATTTTGATGAGTCCAGTTTATTTTTACTTTTGTCGCCTATACTTTTGGTGTCATATCCAAGAAATCATGAAGCATTTCCCCTATGTTTTCTTCTAAGAGTTTTGTAGTTTTAAGTCTTACCTTCGGTCTTTGATTCACTTTGAGTTAATTTTTGTATATGGTGTAAAGTAAGGGTCCCAATTCATTCCTTTGCATGTGGATATCTGGTTTTCCCACCACTGTTAGTTGAAGTGAAGTTTATATTTTTAAAGACAGTTTAGGTTAAAGAAAGGGCAAGCAGACAGTCATAAATGTCTATGTTGTGTCTACGTAGCAATTCCTATGAAGTCTCTTGTTTCTAATTAAGAATGCATTTCAGAAACAAGAAGACGTGGCATAAGATTCACAGCTCACCTTAGAATAATTGTAGGCAGGCATAGAGCCTGTGTTTAAGTTTTATGTTAGTTATTTGGTGGACAGTGACTTCTTGTATTTGGAACTTGATTATGTTAAACTCTCAGAGTTTTGGTCTTCTGGTCGAGGTGTATTTGTGTGTGTGTATGTGTGTATCCTGTTACAGTGTTAATCACAATGAACTCTGGCCAAGGAGAGATCCTCTAACATCTTAGGGGACTTTAGTTTCAAAGCCGTAAGCAAAATCGACATTCTCATGGTAAAGAATAGCCAGTAATAAGTCTTGGGAAGAACTAAAGCCAGCTCAAACTATTCACCTGTCTGTGTAGCAGGAGCTACTTGGAACCTGTTTTGCCTCTTAGTTCTGAAAAGTAGTATGTGTGTTGACAAAATGATATTTACACTGGCTTTGAAAAGGTCAAAAACCAAATATTGTGTCTTTGGAAGTAAGGTTATTTTTTGGAGGACAGAAGGGTGTTGGGAATTGGGTGGCGAGAGGACAAAAGCAAATAAATGTAACAAAGAGGACAGCCTGGGCAAGGATACTTAGAAGGCAGAGGGAGCAGCTTAACTGGGTGTAGGAGTAACACGGATAATGCCCGGATCTAACACTCAGGTGCATTACCTTCTTCGGAGGAAATGACAGCAGATACTAGAGGTAGCACAGCAAGAACCACAGGCAGAGAATGGGCTTGGAAAGGATTGAAAACAATATGATGTAAAATGTGTATGACAGTCTCGAGGAGATGCTGTCAGTAGAATTCATCCGTTACAGATTTTGGATGTGTTCTCAGAACAGTGAGACAAATAGCAAGTAGACAGAGGCAATTACAATTATTCTGAGCTGTTGACAGAATTATGTATCTCAATGCAGTGTTTCAGGGTTAAGAGCTGTCTACCTGAGAAAAGAGTAGCAGTTAGAGCAGTGTTAGAATGCTGTTCTTTCTAATGTAATACTGGAATGTCAGAGTCATGCAGACGTGGGGTGGCGAATGTTTCTCTGTGGCTTCCATGGCTTTGTATGGAACCATTGGGGAACCATTTTCCAAGGTGGTTTTGAATAAAAATCTAGCCTCAAGACTGGCTTGAGCTTAGATTTTCTGAGTAAATAATGAAAAGTTGCCTAAGAATGACTTCTTAGAGTAAAATCAAAATAGCTGCCTCATGCTGTCATTCTGAAATTTGTTCATTCTGCATGTGTCTTTCCATACTTTTTATAGATTTTAAAATCATGACCTGTCTCTACCTTATTTTGTGAATTTCATCTTTTTATTTATTCAGTCATTTTTGTTTCTCATCATGTCCCCTAGCCCCTATCATTTCATTCTAGGGTAGTCTGGATCTTTTCCAGCTTTCTCTGTCTCTTCCAATTGACCAGAATGGCTCATGTGTGAAATTTATATTTTTTCATGTTCTCGAGTTCATTGTCCACATCATTCCTGAAATACCCTCCTGCCTTTTCTTTAAGGGTATGGGCTACATTGAATTGATGTGCTCAGAGAAAAGTCTTTGATGACTAGTCCAGAGGTTCTCAAAGTGTGGTCCCCAGGTGGGCAGCAGCAGCCTCACCTGGACACGTGTTAGAAATGTGAATTCTGGGCTGAATCAGAAACTCCGCGAGTAGAGCTCAAAAATTCATATTTAACAAGTTCTCTGGGTGATTCCACGCTGCATGTGAACGTTTAATAACTGTTCTAGACACTCCTGTTAGCTGTGGGCTGTTGTCCCAGCCATTCATTTTCTCTGGCCCTTGGTCTCCTGATCAGATAGATCAGGGGTTCTCAAATGTTGGTGTGCACATGAATT